TCTTTAATGAAAATAGTAACTAATGTATGTCCGTTGCATTGGATAAATCCCTGTCTAAATCAATCTTTAGTTAGCTGAAGGGTTGCCAGATTTTAGACTAGTCATAACTTCTGGATAATCTATAGAGCCAAGGTGGCACAGTGATTAGGGTGCAGTACTGCAGCTACTTCAGCCGACTGCTAGTTCAACAGATCAGCGGATCAAATCTCAGCGGCTCAAGGTTGACTCGGCCTTCCATCCTTCCGAGGTGGGTAAAATGAGGACCCAGATTGTTGGGGGCAATATGCTATGTAGTATACTGTCTTTGGTGTAAGCCGCCCAGAGTCCTCGGAGAGTGGGCAGCATAGAAATATGAATGAATGAATGAATGAATGAATGAATGAATGAATAAAGAAATAAAGAAATAAAGGCAGAAGACACAAGACATTTATAAGCCAAGGAGAATAGGACAAGAAAATCCTGCTGATTATGTTACTTAGCCTGGTAACGAAACGTTCAGAAACTAAATTGAAACAAGCTTGGAGATCAAACCACTGTCAAAATCTAAAGGCAGCTTTAGGAAGAATGTGTTGCAATAGTCTAGTTGCAAGAGAGCATGGGTCACTGTTGTCAGGACCATGAGCTGAAATAAGGGTATCCTGGGTGCTTTCTGAACTTGGTTGATTTCTTGCAGATGAAAACATTTCATTGGGGAATGAAACATCTGCAAGAAAGCAACCTAGCTCACAGAGCACCAAGGACCTTTCATTTCAACCCTGAGTTATAAATATTCTCCTTTATTGGTATTATCATCTGAAGCTGGACAAAGACCACGCTGGCCACAGCTTCCCCTTGCTCCTCTAGCATAAACTGAGATTCCACCAGGATCCCAAAATATTAATCACACATGTATGTGTGATTATGTGGAAAGTCAGTATTGGAACCAGAATTGAGGCAGGTCATTTACTGAAGAACAGTAGTACCATCTAACACAGATTTAACTTATTAATTTTATCCATATAAGCCCTCCAGATTCCAGGTCAGAACTTTTATTACATCCCCAATTTGGCACGATAATAATCATTTGCGTATAGTCAGCATATTGACGATACCTACCACAAACTGACAGACAACCTCCTCTAGCAGTTTTATGTTAACATTTTATTTCTAACAGCATTTTATTTCAAATTAGTAGTTTGAAATATTGTTGTTTTAATAATCATTGTTGTGGTTTTGCTCCTTCAATTTTGGGAGGGCCAAAATGTATCTCAAGGAACTGTTACAATGGAGATTTGCATTGCTATTAATAGCTGGGTTGATGAACATCTTATATCTTGACTTCATTTGGGGAAACAATCTGTACAGATTTTTCATAGGTTCCTGTACATAAGTCACTGTATAAACTCTTTAAGGAGATAATACAATACTGTGAAATAAATTTCCTGAATGTCTGATGGTTTGAAAGGTCCACTTTGAATTAGCACCATTGTGATAATCACATTTATACATATAAATTAAGCAGTATCTTGTGAACATCAATTATTTTTTCTAAATTGTCTTATTCTGATGCATTTGGAAAGAAAACTTCCTTGGGCCTTTTTCAATAGATAAGTGAGGAGCTTGTAACGATCATACTATTATCCACATTCCTTCGTTTTTCACTTCTAATAGAAAAAGAGAGAGAAAATGTAGTATGTGTATTTTACATTCATTTTTCAATGTTGAATGTTTCAATGTTTCAGTGTTCATGTTGTTGGCCAACATGAAATCAGGTTATTCTGTTTTAATGCCATTCCAAAGGTTAGTACTGTCGAAATGGCATATAATTCTAAGGTTTTGAAAAGGTCATATATCTTCCAACAATGTTTCTTATTCTTTAAGAAAAAGTGTCAGCAGTGGATCTTTTGGTTCAATACATATTTTAAAAAAATTAAATACTAATTAAAGTAGCAAAACAGCAAAGTGTCAGAATATTTGGGAAAAGAAACAACAGAGAAAGAACGGTAGAAGCATCTAACCAAGTGTAATAACAGACATAATTTGGGTATCTACATAACTGTAGATATGACAAAGAATCTGCCTTGGAAGCAGAGGTGGATTTCAGCAGGTTCTGACCAGTTCTGGAGAACCAGTAGCGGAAATTTTGAGTAGTTCAGAGAACCAGTAGTAAAAATTCTGTCTGGCCCCACCCCCATCTATTCTCTGTCTCCCAAGTCCCAGCTGATCGGGAGGAAATGGGGATTTTGCAGTAACCTTCCTCTGGAGTGGGGAGGGAATGGAGATTTTACAGTATCCTTCCCCTGCCATGCCCACCGAGCCATACCCACAGAACCGATAGTAAAAAAATTTGAAACTCACCACTGCTTGGAAGTATACATTGGTATAAATTAAGATGTTGCCATTCTTAAAAAATAATTGATTCAAAAGCTTAAAAATATGCCGTAAAGGCTTTCAGAGTATACCCAGGAGAGCTATATCTTTATCTTTTATACAGAACATTTATTTTTGGTAAACATTAATGAAAACCACTGAATTGAAAAATGGACAATTGAATAACAATTTGGAGGGAGGAAGATAGACAAAGATTAAAGATAATTTATAGTCCAGGGAATGACATCAAGAAACGTACTCTTGTGATCTTCACTAAATTCCCTAGCCCCAGGGTAAGAATAGAATAAATTAGATTTTTTTTATTGGCCAAGTGTGATTGGACACACAGTTGCCAAGAAATATTCAAGTTCTGATTCATTTTCAGATTTCATAAATACTCTGGTTGTAAAGTCACCCCTTGTACCAGATAACAGATGATTTCTGGTGTCCAGCTTGTATTGCATGGGCTAGCATTATCTAGCCTGAGAAAGGCTTTCTGATGAAGCAAAGTGAGATACTCATTTGAAGCTGTCATAAGAAAGGCCAGACCCAATGCATCTGTCTATGAGAAGATTCCTCAGAGTAAGGCAGGAATGGTTATTTGAGAAAGTACCAACAGATGATTCTACTACAGCAAAAACAACATGAGGTAACATCTAAATGCACACTAAATTCAGTTCCCAGTCTTACAAACCCATTCCACCCAAATTCTATTTTGGTGGCAAGTGGTTTTTCAGAGCAAGACACCTCTGAGCAGATTGTCTATCCTTTTGCTGTACATCTAGTATCTTTGACCACCATGCCTTCAGTACCTTATTCTAGTTCTCTGATCAGTTTCTTTGCTAAAGTGAGGTAAGATCCATTGAAGTCATTGTCCTTTTTTAATCACTAAGTAGCATTTCTCTCAGCATCTGACTTCATTCTCATCTTTGCAAATCTTTGATCCTTTACTTTTGACAAGTTGTTCTTTCTTGGACTCATTGGCATCCCCATGAGTTAATTCAATATCTATTAAATGAATCTATCTAATTACAAGGAGCTCCATTAAATGCATATTAAGTTTGAACCAATCAAGGTCTAAGATTCAATGTGATCTTTCAACTAGACTGGAGAATGTAGAAGAGGAGGAGTTAATGGTAACCTAGAGAGATCACCGCAAAACATTTTTTTCAGCTGCTAAAGAGAAGACTATGTTTGGAGACATTCATGCAGTAATGGTCTATACTTGTCCCCACACATTAATTCAGTGGTGGGTTCCTCCTGGTTCCGCCTGGTTCCGCCGAGCCGGTAGCGGTGACAATATGACCTCACCGAACTGGTTCTGCCCCCCCACCCCCCCACCCCTGCATTATTCTTACCTTTTATTTGGTCCCACCCCCAATCTATTGCTGCCTCCTGAGTCCCAGCTGATGGCTAGAGGGAAAAAAACTGTTTAAACTCTTGCCGCTGGGCTTCAAAGGCCGCCCTACAGTTGATCAGTGTTAAAAGAAAACAAATGAGTAGACTGGTGCCTGCAAAAATACATGAGTAGACCAGTGCCTGCAAAAATAAATGGGTAGATCGGTACAGCCTGGTAGACTAGTACCTCTGCTAAATCCTAAATAATTGTCACATGACCATCAAACCACGCCCACAAAATAAACCACACCCACAAAATAAGCCACACCCACAGAACTGGTAGTAAAAAAAAATAGAACCCACCCCTGCATTAATTGTATAATGGCAAGTCACATTTCTGGAATTTTAAAATATATAAAAAATAAAAGTACACCAGACTCTTAAAAAAAGAGTTCAGAGTTCCAGTCTGTCCAACGATGTCGATATCTAAGGAACTTATAACTTCATCTACTCTTTGTGCACATATAAAGTGTGATTACAATGGCAGCATTGAAAGAGAAAAACATTTTTCAGTGTTAAAGCCATTCTCATATGCTAGACACAGCAAATTAAAAATTGTAGCCATACAGTATATTTGGAAGTTGGATTGTAGCAATATCCTAAATTTGAAGACAGGAAATGTCTGTTTAGGTATTGAAAGCATAGGAAATTCTAGTTCTTGGTACTTAAATCAAAGTGTAGTTTATTTAACTTTCTAGGTTGTTACTTGTATGTTTGATTCTCAGCTACATGCATATGTCTCTACATCTCTCTTTTTCTTTCTCCTCCTGCATGACAGGAAACAGACTGTATGTTGGTTTAGTTCAAAATATCTTGGTGTAAATTCTTTATAAGTTTGTTGATATCCCTTGGACCACTTAATAGAAATTAACATAATCACAATTATTCCTTATATCCAAATATTTCACACGTATGCACAGGACACCCAAGACAAAAATATTTTGTGAACCAAATGTCCATTATGAAACAGAATTGTCAAATATTAATTTCTATTTATATGCCGTATTAATTTTTCGATTGGCTACAACCAGGCCTATATTCTTACCTGAAGAACTATATGATAAAAAAGTGCCTTGTATAAATTTAACCATTAAAAAAAAATTCTTGCCTGTTTTTATTAAGAATGATTCATGCAATAAACACAAAAAAGTCAGTTTTACAGACAGTTTTGTTGCTGACATCACTTGGCAACATGGTGGAGATTTCATTACTTATTTGATAGCATTTTCGTTTCTCTTCTTTTCCGTCTACAGAGCTGCTCAGAAGTTGAATCTATCATCCAAAAAGAAGAAGCACAGACCCCCTGCATCCTCCGTTTCTGAATCTCATCTATTTGCTACCAAATTCAGCATGATCCTGCAGACCTCACCTCCACCTGCTCCACCTTGTTTATTAAGGGCAGTCAGCAAGGTGAAAGATACTCCAGGACTGGGCAAGGTACAGATTAAACCTTTATAGTTCTACTAATCTGTTGCAGCAAAACAAAAGTTGTGAGGGGAAAAAAAGGCATCTCTTAAAGCTGCTTGTGTCAGCCGGCAGTGGCTGAAATTATTACCATAACTAGTTTGTATTAACAAAGAGGCAAGATGCAATATCTTGTTTCTTTAATCCCCAAAGTAGCTTCAAAACAAGGAAAAGTTATGCCCTGCATATGAGATTTCCCTCTACAGCTGTGTATTTATTCTTCCACCCTTGCTCAGACAGTGTTGACAATGAAGGCAGATCTATGTGTCCCAGGATAATGATGCGAGATCGAATTTGGGTTGGTCACCGGGATCAGAGATTTACTCTTCTGAGCTTTCAGACTCATGCTGGAACCCATCTTCAGGAAATTTCTCTCTACTGAAATATGTGCTTTGGGCTGTTCTGTGAGTCATGTTTATGTGGTGCCTTCCTATTGGTTGATTGGTTGACTGGTGATTGGCTGTCGTTTCCTTGCGCTGCCAAGCCCTTGGCTTCTAAGTATTGATAAACTGATGGTAATTCAGCACTCCTGTTAACTGACAAGAGGCCTGTTTCCCAGGCTTCAATAATTTCTCTGGCTATCTTTGTACCTGCAATGCTGACTCTTTAGTGCCTATTTCTTCGAAGACATTTTTAATTAGTGTAAATAAACCTAACCTCAAAAAAAATGATCTTAAAAGAGGGCTCACTAAATCATATACTACACAGTAATAGATTAAGTATTAGATAAGGGATTAACATATGTATTAAATAGGCTATTCCAGACTAATCAGTAGATAAATATTCTCCTGTAACACTATAGGTTGAATCAACTATCCCTATTAACTTGATACATGTTTGCAATTTAAAAAAATGGTTATTTACAGTGTAATTCTATGTATATTTGCTCTGATTTGATCAGGCTTATTCCCAGGAAAATAAGTGTAGGTTTTCAGCAATTATCAATGGTATATCATTAACATTTGAGAAAGGTAATTTGTTATCTTTTTCTGTCTTGCATTCCTCTCTATAAATACAGATCAAGTACTAAAACCAACTTGAACTAGAAATGAATGGCTTCTTGTACATTCTTGAAAACAGTAAAAATGGCAGAATGTCAATTCACCTTGGCAAATGTATTTCATTCTTATTCTACTTTAATTTCATGTACATTGCTCTAAAATCATAGTTACAGTACATTGCTTTTTAATGGCGTTAATGCCAGTCTCAAATGAACTGGAATTAAAATTCTTAAGGATAGTGCAGTAAAAGAAGAAAATAATATGTTATGTAATTTGTGACCCTTCTCTTTTTTCTAAATTAATTCCCAATCAATTAAAGAGGTGCACATTGCAGTTAATTACATGTAGCAAGAGAGTTAGAAGATCATATAACCTGATATCTGTTTGGACATATATATATCTAATTCATGGAAATGATTTCATAGGACATTTTAGTGGTCTTATGACTAAATAAGTTTGAGGAATTCCAACAATTGCTTCTCAAATGTAAAAAGGATTTTGAACTACTATTGATAAACAAAGGCATATTTCAGAGATTAATACAATAATAATACAATAATACAATAATTAATTCATTAGCATGGGTTCATGCTGGGATTATTTTTATGTAGCAAATAATTCTGTAGTATTAGACATTATTTTTACATCACTATAGCTGTTAACTCACATTGCCAGGAAACAATTATGAGAATATGAGAAAATAAAATAATAAGCAGTTCCTACATTTGCATTAAATGAACCTGCTCTTCACCTCTGTCCAAGCTTAGCCATGTTTTATTGATCTTAATTACAGACCTGGCATTTAGAGCCTGTGCTACTTACAAACAGTCCCACTTTGGCCTATAAGCGGCTCTCTTCTGGCTTTCTTACCAAAGCAGGCTACAATTATGCATAATTTAATTCAAGATCAAAGGGTGTGGGGGCAAGATGTGAAGTGCTTTCTGAAGGCCTGAATGGAGTATGAGGGTTGAGGAATCATATGCCATATCTTTATTGGAACATATTTTGTATTTGCTTGAATGAGCTTTTGGTATGGTCTAGTAATCTGCTTTCTCAAAACCCCAAGTCATGCAAAGAGATATGCTCACCTTTAAACAAATGTGAATATAACTGTTCTTCAGACTATAGCCAGCTGCAGACTATAGCCAGCTGGATGATCAGAAGAGTAAAGGGTTCGATGGACAAAATCTTAAGATATAGAAATCAAATACTGACATACTTTGTTATTGTATATTTGTTAAAAATGCCTGAAATTATATATCTGAATGTGGAATGTTTCCACCATAAGTAATTATTTTTATTCTGTATATTGATAGTTGAGGGCATAATTATCATGGAATGGGGGAATTAAGTGAGTCCTTTCTTTCAAAAAATGGAAGAATATACAGAAACTCCTAAGGGTGTGCAAAACATTTCAGATTTGATATTCCCTATTGCACCATTCAGTATGCTTGTTTCTAAGTATAAAAGAGCTGTTTTAATGAGAAGCATTCTGTTTCTAACATTTTGAAAGTGTTCTGAGCTCAAATCAGAGTATTTTCAACTCAACTGCTTTTCAGCTCAAAAGCAACATGAGTGAGGCGGTTTATTTCCCACTAGAAGCAGGTTAGGGTACAAAACCAGCATTTTGAATATGAGGAATGGGAATATTTTACACATATCTAAAAGACATTTTTACAGTTGGCTTTGTTTTAAGCTGAACCATATAGTATGCCAGCTCAGATAAGGATGAGCATAGAGCAAGAATATTTCAGGAAATATACTATGTGGATGGCAGGATTGGATTATTTATTTGTTTATTTCTAAGACTTTATATTACCTCAGGAGCAGATGACTCTAAGCAATTTAAAGTACAATATACACTAAACCAAGAATTAAAACAGTATATAGTACATTATCACAAGAACTTTATATAAAATCCAACCTCTCCATCAACCTTCATTCTTAGCGTCATATTAAATGAAGAGAAGCTATTCTAATAATGTTCTGCCCCAGCTACGGACTCCAAAGAATGCAGCACACACAAACTCTGTACAAAGCTTATTTCAGTCAAATAACTTAGTCTTTATCAACCAAAGGCTGTTAATAAACTGTCTTAACAGCCTACCAGAATTCTAAGATAAGGTAATCACAGTCTTACTAGAGTTGGCAGAAAGCCCAGAAACAATTTTGCAGAGAATCCAGACGCAAAGGAGATTGAACTAAAGTTGTTCCCTACAGCTTGCTGCAAGCGGCATTCCTCCTTAAATTGGCTAAGGGAGTGGCCAATTAGCCCCAAGCCTTACTCTCGAGGAGACCTCCTCCTGAGGAGTCACTCCTGCCTTTTGGCAGCTCTGTGTACCCATGCATTGAGAAGAGGCTCCTCCTCTTTGTCCTCTTCACTTAAAGGAGCTTCTGCAGGTTCTGAAGGCCCTGGCTGAATCCCTGCCTCTGGCACCACATCTTCTCCAGCCTCCTCACTGTCCGACTCGAATGCCAGCTGCACAGGCTGCTGGCGCAGCACCACACCAGCCTCCTCGTTGTCGGAATCAATCTGCACAGGCCGCTGACGGGCCACAACAAATAAGCAGGAGCACAGCAAAAAGGAGACACCTGGTTCAGATTTAACAATATAACTTTTAATCATGAGACCAATTTTACTAAACTTCACTGGGTTTTGCTTTGCCTCTTATTCTCCCTCAGGTAAAGATGAAAAGTATTAACTTTCGTATTCAGAGGAAATACTCTTTTTTGTAAATCCCTATTCAGAATGAATGGTGTTTAAAAATTGTTTTTTAAAAAATTATTTTTTAAAATCCTACCTTTATTTTTGCTATAAGTAATTCAAGTCAGCAAACTTCCTAATACTTCCTCTTCCTATTTTGCCCACAACAACAACAATCCTGTGAAGAGAGTTGCACTGAAAGAGGGTGACTGGTCACCTAGCCAGCTTTTGTGTGTAAGCAGGACAAAAACTCATAGTCTCCTGATTTCTAGCCTGGTGCCTTAACCACTACTAGACCAAACATTAATATGAGCAAACATTAAAGTACATCATATATAACAATAAAGCCAAAAGAAGACAGTTAGTTGTCATGTGAAATATGAGGGTTGTGGAGATATGCATACAAATGTAATTAACTAAGATTCTGGTAATTAATTGACTGAAATTTCTTGGAAACAACTGTAATATATACTATTTATAATGGATCACTGGTGGATTAGCCATAGTTCATTTAAACCGTTATATGATTAGTCCGTAGGAGAAAGGACTGTTTCCTTCCTTGTCATTTTAGATTATTTATAGCAAGTATGTTTGTGTATAAATTTGGAGAAATAGAAATAAAATAATATCCTGCCCTCTTTCAAAAAATAAGCGAGGAAAAATAGGTTAAAGCAGATGGAACTTTCATAGATTCTTTTCATTGCATGCAGAGTTGGACTTTCTTGGCCACAAATATTTTTTAGTATTCTAATTTTTTTTGAAAAATCCAGTCAGCTTCTGAAATATGTGCTGCCAATATTCATCAAGAGAATATTAACAGTGAAGCGAGAGAAAAAGTTATCTTGTCTGCTGAAAGTTCTGCACTGGGACCTAGAGTAAGTCAAAAGTTAATTGCTGTAGGACAAATGAGAGTTAAAACCATTATCCCTTGGAAACAATTTCTGAGAAGAAGAACGAAAACTGTTTCTCCTCCAAGTTACTATGGTTACAGAAATGGGAACAAGGAGGAATACCCCATGAGGCATTTTAAGAAGACATGTGCGTTCATCATTGTAGTCAAACAGATTGTTCTATAAATTAAATAGTTCCACATGAAATGAAAGCCAGGTGGCCTTTAGCCCTCAAGTTGGAGTGGCCCATTACAAGGATATTCTTCAGGAAACAGGTTTGATGGATTGGACTGAAATCTTTGCTGGACCAACTAACAGTACATTTTGAGAGGAAAAAGTTTAGCATCTTTTATTGAGGAAGGAAGGAAGGGAGGCTTC